AAAGCACTTTTCGAAATTTTGTAAATATTTTTACACTGAAATATTTAATATTTTAAATGTTTGTTAAAACAGATTGACAATTATTTTTAATTGACAGATTTTACAATTCATTAAAGTATTTTATATTTAGCATATTTTCGAGCCCATAAATATTTTTGTCTATTTTTTTTTACCATGTTTTTAGTTAATAATGCTTCAGAAAACTTTTTCAGGTCAGGCCAAATTTTAAGTTCAGATAGAAAAAATGTAGTTTACAGCTCGAAAGGCGCTAAAAACAAGAAGCAATTAGTGAATTGAATAAAACTAAAAATTATTACTAATTATAGAAGATACTGTAAATGTTATGGCGTGAAAACTAACCTCAAAATACATATGTTCGAATCACTGACATTACGAAATAGGCATGCAATAAATTATTACAAATATTATTCACGTGTGCTGGTTTTCTCAATACTACATATAAATAATAAATAGAGTACCGTTACTTTGTTGAAAAATAGAAAAAAAAACTTGTAAATCAAAGTGACTGAACAAGCGATGGTAGTTGAGAGCACTGTTTCGCAAAACATATAGTCTTCGTTGAAGAAGGGGCAGTTCTAACAAATTATTAAAAAAAAAAATTAATAAATAAAAATTAGCTTGAAATCATGCGCAGAGAAACGAAATGTAATAAAAAAAATTTATATGAAATTCAAAACATAAATAAGAAGCAACTTTTTTGATATTTTTATACACGCAATGAATTAAAAAAAGTGAATTATAGATGAACCAAAAAAAATTTTTTTTGATGAACAAAAAGGATTTGAGGCAGCGTTGAAGAGAGTGGAGGAGTGGAAGAGTGGAAGAGTGGCTGGCAGAAGGGTTTTTCAAGAAATCCGACATAAAATAATATTAAAATGCTTGCTGTTGAAGCAAAAAAACTTAAAAAAGTAATGGTATTTAAATCATAAATTATTTAATAATTGAAAATGTTTAATGCTGAATAATAGTGTAGAAATTGCAGCATGAAAAAAATTAAAGAAAACTACATTTTGGCTTAAAATTTAAGATTAACACAAAAATTAAACAATTTTGACAATGCGCATAGCGTAAATGAAGAAAGGTTTGGCAGAGAAAAATATTTATACGAACTAGTAAGGCAAAAAAAAAATTTAAATACAAAAAATGAAATGCTTTAAAAAGGACTTGAGATGCGTTAAATATGCGAGAAAAGTATAATTTTCAAAAGTCGAAGACAGTAGTATACAAAATTTTTCGAAAATAAGTAAACTTAAAATTATGATATATTGCTTTGTGCAAAAAATAAAGATATAAATATCTATATACTTTTTTGGAATAAGTGTGGTAAATTAACATAATAGTAAGGACAATTTTCGGAACTAGTAGTAACTGTAATCAATGTAATGCTTTCAACTAAAATTTTGTTATTTAAAAATTTTTTTTTTCAAAGTAAATGCGTTGTGCATAATAATATTTTCTTCAAAAGTCGAATAGAGTTGTTAACACATTTTTTTGCAATTGCGGTAAACAATTTGACGATTCACGACAATTCACGATTTACGAAAATTATTTTTTGTCTTTTTTTCATTTAAGGGAAAAATATACTATAGACTAGCCTAAAAAAATTTAATTTTCATAAACAAATTTTTTTTAATATATTTACGTTTTTCGAAAATTGATTTTTTGTCGGCATTGGTAACAGAAGTGAAAAGTGTAAACTTTTTTGTTTCTGTTTTTAAGTAATTGTTACTACATTGACATTTTTTTTTCGTTGCTTGCACAGTTGTATGGTTGTCGAAAATAATTTTGTAAAACAAAACGTAATGTAAAGTTTTATTTTTGGTCAAACACAAGTTTGAAATACAAATGTGAGCAGTCGGAAAATTGGAAAACAATAGAGTAAGAATACAAAAGTGCGTAGTCGTCTTTCAAAAACAGTTTTTTTGTAAAGGCAAATTAAAAAAATATACAAATTTGCAATTTTCAGTAGTTGCCACCCGTTTATTCTTTAAAAAAGTAACAAAGATAGCTTTTATACACATCTTTCGTGCAGAAGCTACCTTTATTTGTAAAGGACAATCCCGTTAACCTGCTTAGCGTTTTTCTTGTTCGTGTTTTAAGACGGCTAGTGTCAAAAANAAAGCACTTTTCGAAATTTTGTAAATATTTTTACACTGAAATATTTAATATTTTAAATGTTTGTTAAAACAGATTGACAATTATTTTTAATTGACAGATTTTACAATTCATTAAAGTATTTTATATTTAGCATATTTTCGAGCCCATAAATATTTTTGTCTATTTTTTTTTACCATGTTTTTAGTTAATAATGCTTCAGAAAACTTTTTCAGGTCAGGCCAAATTTTAAGTTCAGATAGAAAAAATGTAGTTTACAGCTCGAAAGGCGCTAAAAACAAGAAGCAATTAGTGAATTGAATAAAACTAAAAATTATTACTAATTATAGAAGATACTGTAAATGTTATGGCGTGAAAACTAACCTCAAAATACATATGTTCGAATCACTGACATTACGAAATAGGCATGCAATAAATTATTACAAATATTATTCACGTGTGCTGGTTTTCTCAATACTACATATAAATAATAAATAGAGTACCGTTACTTTGTTGAAAAATAGAAAAAAAAACTTGTAAATCAAAGTGACTGAACAAGCGATGGTAGTTGAGAGCACTGTTTCGCAAAACATATAGTCTTCGTTGAAGAAGGGGCAGTTCTAACAAATTATTAAAAAAAAAAATTAATAAATAAAAATTAGCTTGAAATCATGCGCAGAGAAACGAAATGTAATAAAAAAAATTTATATGAAATTCAAAACATAAATAAGAAGCAACTTTTTTGATATTTTTATACACGCAATGAATTAAAAAAAGTGAATTATAGATGAACCAAAAAAAATTTTTTTTGATGAACAAAAAGGATTTGAGGCAGCGTTGAAGAGAGTGGAGGAGTGGAAGAGTGGAAGAGTGGCTGGCAGAAGGGTTTTTCAAGAAATCCGACATAAAATAATATTAAAATGCTTGCTGTTGAAGCAAAAAAACTTAAAAAAGTAATGGTATTTAAATCATAAATTATTTAATAATTGAAAATGTTTAATGCTGAATAATAGTGTAGAAATTGCAGCATGAAAAAAATTAAAGAAAACTACATTTTGGCTTAAAATTTAAGATTAACACAAAAATTAAACAATTTTGACAATGCGCATAGCGTAAATGAAGAAAGGTTTGGCAGAGAAAAATATTTATACGAACTAGTAAGGCAAAAAAAAAATTTAAATACAAAAAATGAAATGCTTTAAAAAGGACTTGAGATGCGTTAAATATGCGAGAAAAGTATAATTTTCAAAAGTCGAAGACAGTAGTATACAAAATTTTTCGAAAATAAGTAAACTTAAAATTATGATATATTGCTTTGTGCAAAAAATAAAGATATAAATATCTATATACTTTTTTGGAATAAGTGTGGTAAATTAACATAATAGTAAGGACAATTTTCGGAACTAGTAGTAACTGTAATCAATGTAATGCTTTCAACTAAAATTTTGTTATTTAAAAATTTTTTTTTTCAAAGTAAATGCGTTGTGCATAATAATATTTTCTTCAAAAGTCGAATAGAGTTGTTAACACATTTTTTTGCAATTGCGGTAAACAATTTGACGATTCACGACAATTCACGATTTACGAAAATTATTTTTTGTCTTTTTTT